TTCAGCTCAAGTGTCAAAGATAATGCAGCAATGTTATTTCCTTTATATAGACAGGACTTTTATTTAGGCTTTTTTTCACAAATATTCTGGGGTTTCTTACGTTTGGGAAAATATCAGCATATTCCATTTTATATTTATTTCTTGTTTAAATAGTTCATTTTTAATTTATTTATTTTTAAGCTTAAGTAGTATAAATAAATCTATTAGGTTTTGACACAATTTTATTTATCTTCATTACATTCAGCCTGTTGAATGCTACTGAATAGAGCAAATTTTATTATAATTGTAGTATATGGAATCCACTCTTAAATCTTGTCCACAAAACCAATCCCATTACACACGCACACACACACACATATATATATATATATATATATATATATATATATATATATATATATATATATAACTGCCATAGCATGTGAAACTTTGATTTGCATCATGAGGTTGGTGATATGCTGCATACTGCACCCTACCTTAAAACTTCATGACCACAGGACCAAGGGTTATACCAGCATCTCCTGCAACCAATGTGGGTGGGCTTGTAGCAGCCATGGAAAATCCTCCTAAGTCTTCATTTTCAAAGCCATGCTATGAATAGATGACATTTAACTTGGCTGAAATTTTGTTTAGGGTTAAAATTTTGGCTTCATGTACATGAGAAGGCTTTTTTAAGTTTCTTTTTCTTTGGTAAGGTTACTATTTATTTAATGGTATTACATTTTAGGATAAATGTTACTAGGTTATTTTAACATCTTTTGATATTGTACCTGATGAACTTTTATACTGATTAGGACTTCATTTGTTTATTATGCTTACTTATTTTCCATTGTTAGATGATTTGGCTAAGTAAAATATTTGGTTGTGATTATGATTTCTTGCCACACCCTCTATATTTGCCCAACCTTGTACCTTCAAATTTCCACTTATTTCAATGAGGGGACAAATCTTTCACTCTGAAGAGGATGTAAAAAAAATCACCTCAAAGAAATTTTTTGCCAATAAAGACAAAAAATTCTTTGAGCAGAGAATAATGGATCTGCCCACAAGATGGCAGAAGATACTGGAACATGACGCTAATTATATCATCAATTGAATAAAGGGCTTTGTGTATAAAGTTTGTGTGTCTTATTTTCACTTAAAAAAACTGAACTGACTTTTTGTCCAACCGAATAGTAAAACTACTATTTCTTTTATTTTTTCTTTATTATCTTTACTAGAAAGTTGTCTGTCACATGAGGCTGTTTTAATGTTAACAATATAATTTTGCAATTGTGCAGACTGTCAGGTTTCATCAGCCATGCTGGCTACGGAATGCCCATAATAAATTAGAGCATATTTCATTACATACGGAAAAAGAAAAGCTGAAAAGAAATACCTGTTTGTCATTTTTTATTATCCCTACTTCAGTTGTCCTATGAAACACCCATAAAAAATTCAAGCAGACTTAGAGTTAACTGGAATTTTTTTCAAGATTGATAACAATTCACTGTAAAGCCACTGTTAATCCCACATGCAAACTATTTCAGCAAAAGTAAGCAGATAAAATTGTAGTTCTTTAATGATGGCTCTGTGACCTTTAACATCACAATAAAAATTAACTACAGTATTTCTGTAGAGTATTTCTTAGTTTTCAACATTATAGTTGCTACTACGAGAATTATTAGTTAAATGATATATTGTTGCATTATCAAAAGAACATTAACTATTACTTTGAACATTCTAGAATAAGCTACAGCTGTTTGAAACTAACTGCGTAAAAATTATTCAGGATATGCACTGCTGTCTTGCCTACCTAGATGGTACATAACCTGCTGCTTGGTAATTCCTCGTTCTGTAAGCTTGGATGTGCAGGTGATGTAATGGATTGGAGATCAGAGTGCCAAGTTTCTATTCCCATCAGGTATGTTATATTCACATACATGCAAATACCTCTGGGAAAGTTATGAATCCACCTCTTTTCTCCCCAGCTATGGGTTAATTTGGAGGACTTGTATCAGTAAATCATTATTATCTCTCAAAAACATTCTTACAATCTAAAAATATTTTCTGGTTTTAACCATTAGTACATTATTATTTATAAGTATTCTCCTTTTACTGCATTCTTTTTTAAGGTCCTTCAGCTGTAGTAATCCGATTGCTTATTTTAGTTAAGGATATTTTCTGTTACCATAACAGGACATGACAACACTACTGAAAAATTCACAATATCATTTGGTGTTCTGCAGGACAAATCTTTTGCTTTACAAAGTCACCTACAATGTGCTAAAGATTAAATAACCAGCAAAGGGTTGATAGACTGTAAAAAACAAATTAATCTCTTTATATTAACAGCATAAGCATTGTCATGAAATCCAACAATAGAATCAGTATTGATTATATAATCATCATTATTATACTTAACACTATTCATTGATCATCATTAAGAATATTTCTCGTGATCATTAAATTCAGTATTTCATTACTTTATCATTTTAATTTTCCAGCATCAAAAAAATCTTAAATAAATTAATTTACCTTCTACTTTCCTTATATTTTTTTCTGCAAGCATTGAAATTTTTAATAGCCAGTTTTGTGCAATTTTCCTTGAAAAGCAGAATATTGGCTCAGAGCTAAAATGATGTCATTTGTTATTTCATAAGTCTTAATTACATTTGCTCTTTCTTTGTTTGATCTTTATTCATTCAGTCAGAGTTCGGCACTTGAAAACCTCCAAGGCCCACTAGGTAATATGAGAAGTAGTCATTAATTTTTCTTATATATATTAGGGTTATGACTTTTTTTCTTTTTTTTTTCTTCCATCATCATTCAAAGAAATTTTGTTCGAAAATAATGGAGGGCTTAATTCAGGTTACTTTTTTAAAAAATGTCACCCCAACACAAACTTTCTAAAATCATAGTAGTACTATGACTTTCTAGAGCTTTCTAGAACTTCATGTAACCTTTTAGAACTTGTTTTTGTTTTTTTATGTAAAGTTGTATGTAATACTATAGTTATAAACTGTTAAATGTGTTAAAAACTAAGTACTATCCAATTACATCATTCTTCTTCTTTTATGTGCCATATCCCTTCAGGATATGGCGCTCCTCATCTTCTTGTCTCTTGTAGATCTTAGCAAATTGAAAAATAAAGGTTCTGAATTTTTTTTTTTTAACCCTTATTATGTATATGGTAAACTCAAATTTTCAGTTTGGGGTGTGAATTTTTCAACAACTAAAACAAATTAAAGCCTTTTTCATTAAATTTCAAAAAAAGATCATTGATTTATAACACTGGAACTTAGGCTTGCAAAAAGTCATAATCCTAATATATATAACAATGATGTTCACTCTGTACAAGACTCGAGAGCCACTTGAGGTAGAGGGTTGCAGCATAAGAGTCACAGTTTATGTGGATATGTGGGGGAGATAATGGTGAACCCTAGACTTAAACAGGTTAAGATTGTAGTGATCGGGGAAGCATCCTCTTGTAGTTTTATACTTTACTTAAAAAAAATACAAAAATATTACATTTTGAGGTGTTTTTTAAAGAAAAGCACAGTAGGCCCAAACTTTTTGCCTTTAGTCTACATACATGCACAATTTGAATGAAATTGAAATGGACATCTGTGTTATGTGAGTTAATTACAATTTTTGCTGTTTGGCAACAACCCCTGGATAACAGGATAAGAGTATAAGCTAAAACCCTTTGAAATTATTTTTAGGACTTCTGTATTTAAGCTGAATATATTTTCTAATAAATGTGGTGTTGTAAATAGACAAACATATTTGAAATTAAATAATATTACTATCACAGAAGAAATGGAGAAGCAAACTAGTTCCTGTAAAAATTTTTCCTTCCTTAAAAAACTGCTTTGATTAGGCTTCTGTAGAACTGATATGAAAGAGTTCATAACTTTTGCTATACTAATAAATATTGTTACACTATCTTCTTCAAAATTATCCATTGAAATAATTAATAATGCTGACCTGATAATCTAGACATGAACATAGTCATAATGTGGTCAACTTTACCATATGTACCTGCCAAAAAATAGTGTATCAAAAGGACAGTTTTTCTCTTGACACTGCTATTACTCTCTTGGCTATTTTTATTGTTTTAAAAAGCTATTTTTAGAATTTGAAAAATAAGCAAACATATGACATTTATGCATTCTCTTTTTTCTTGGGAATTGACAACAAAAGTATTAAACAGTTTTTTTTGTTTTTTATATAAACAATCAATTTACATATTTATGATGTTTCAGATGTTGTACACTCTCTGGCCTTCTTCAGGTGATTGAAATTTCGAACCAAACACTTTATTTCATCCACCAGATTAGATTGTTCTAGGATGTCTCAGTTTCAGTTATTTCCCTTTCGGAACTCAACTCTCCAAGTTTTTGGTCACATCTGCAGTGCCCAGGTATTGAACTCACAACTCTTTCTCATCACTGGATTACTTCAACCAACACTTTTATCCACTAGACCATATGTCCTTGGGGACAATCTAATACATAAATAGACTTTAACATTTTTGTTGTTAATATTGCATTGTAGTTGGTTGACACATTTTTATAAATGTTTCAATATAAAATTATTCTTTTAAATAAACAATCCATTAAAGTGAATAGTGTCTAATTCTCTTGTTATTGATTCTCAAGAGAAAAGAGAATACATAAATCTAAAAGTTTGTTAATGGAAGTATGCAATGGTGTCAAGAAAAAAACCATTCTTTTGACACACCATCTTTTTTTTTGCAGGTACATATGTTAAAATTTGCCCATAATGTTTTTCTGTTACATTTTAATAACTTAAAATTAATTTAATTGATTTGGTCACAACTTCTAATCAAGGCTGCAATATCTCATTTGTAGAGACTGTATATCCTTGTAATTGCATGTAGCACCATCCTTAACATCTCTCTGCATTCTAAAGGTGGGATGTTCATTTATTCCAAGGGCTAATGAACTGCACAAGGCAGAGTTGTTCAGCTCCCCTAGGGTATTTGCTATACTCACGTATCCCAGTATTCTCCTAGATAGATATCTGTTAACATAGCTAATGAACTCTATCTTCCCATTTGGTTCATATCAAAGTTTGCCTTCTAGACAAACTGATTGCCTTCACCATGGCTAAGGGTGTTCAGCCCTCCTATATACCCCCACACAGACACACTCACATACTTCATATATTATTCCTTCTTGCCACCTGAAGATTGCAAAAATTTTATGAAACTGTTAGTACCGGAGGGGTATATGTGCAGAAATGTTTGTTATTATATTAGATTTTAGGCTCTGAATTTTGTCTTGAATTTTACATTGGGCTCTTTCCTTTTACTATGTTTGCACTTGTGTATGTAATTGTTGCATCATATTTAATATATATATATTCCAGTTATACATTATTTTTATAGATATAATTTATTTAAATAAATGCTCTGTTCTTTTTAGTTAAACGGTATTAATTACATTTACTGGCCTGAATGTTCAAGGAATTTTGTAAAAAATATATGCTTCTCTGAAAGGAATTGAATCTGTAATGCCAAAAGTAACCATCATTTGATCTGATGTGCTGTTAACCATTCAGCTACAAAGAAGCATCTGGTTAGCAAAGTCCAAATTGCTGTTTATAAATAACAAATCTTTGATGATCTTTACTGAATGATCATATCTGCTCACAAAATATATCTTAACATAAACAATGACAATCTATCCGACAATTATTTTTGATATATTTTCCATTTATACATTATTCTTATAGATATAATTTATTTAAGTAAATTCTCTGTTTTTTAATTAAAAAAATATATATATTTGAAAGAAAATATCTATTATTTTAATATATATATATATATATATATATATATGTATGTATTTGGATAAAAATATATATATTATTATTTGAAAATATATATAATTTGAAAGAAAATTTTAGTATTTTTCTTAGTCAATTTTCTATGGCTAACAAGAAATTGATTTGTGGACTCGAAATGATTAAAACAAAAATAAACAGACATAGTATGTCTAAATTATTTAGACAAATCTGTTTGAATAATATATATAGTTAATAATCTGTTGGTATACAATCCAGGTGAATCCTATTAATACAATATCAAATATTAAAACTAATTCACACATAGAGCTCAATGCTTTAATTAAACAGTGCAACATATTTTTTTATTTCAATAACTGGTTTGAAAAATCCTTGTAAATTTTATTTCAATTTACAAGGTGAAAATGAACATTAACTTAATATAATCTTAATTGTATTGTATAATAATATATATAATACATGTATTGCTGGTGTTAATAAAAGAAGCTCTTGAGTATATATTAATATATATATATATACACATTATATGTATATTTATTAATAAATATATATATATATATATATATATATATATATATATATATATATATATATATATATATATAAACAATTTTGATTAAAATGAACTGACACAGTCAGTCTGTTTTAATTTTTGATTGTATTTTTCTGATTTTTGAATAAGGTGTTTACTACTGTGTTTGGTAACAGTCCTAGGATTGCTGGCACCTCAAGCAAACTGAACTTTGGTGCCTTTACAAGTATAAACCTTTTTAAATTTTCATGAGGCGAAAAACAGAAAATGTAAAATAACGAGTTTATTACAATATACAGCTTAATACAAGATAAAAAAAATTCATTATCCTACATAAAACATTTTTCTAACCTTTAGATCTGCAAATATTTATATGGCACTTTCTATACCTATCTTCTTTACAAGGTCATTTTTTATTGACAAAATAGCAAAATTTAATCTGTTTTAAGTCATGGGCATTCGCAAGTATGTTTTTATAAGCTTTTATTTTGGAAGACCCCAAACACATGACATGGCAGCATGATGGTGTCATCGGTCTTCATGGTGCCCTGGGCAACTGTCTAAGTTGCCAGTACCACAGCCAGTCCTGATTGTGCTTGAAGTTGTGGATAAACTGTCCAAAGATTATATTGTGTTATTATTTTGCTCAAGTACTTTCAATCATTGCAGTAATTTTTGTGAAAAATATCACACTTTAGATGAACACTTGCTGCCTATATATATATATATATATATATATATATATATAAAGAAATATAGTCTTAAGGTGTGCTATATTTATGGGATAAAGTGCTCAATATCATAGATAAAGCGTGTGTAAATATAAAAGTGAACATTGAAGTCAACACTTAGAGGTGATAGGCTGTTTCATGCTAGACATAATCATCAGGCCATATATATAGGCATTCTATATATATATATATATATATATATATATATATATATATATATATATAGTAGTGCGTTCTGCTTAATTATGCAAAGTAAATTTTTCATCTAACGTGTCAATAAATTCTGTTTTTTTCAGACTTGATACTTCTTACAGATTAAATTATACTTTCAGACAAGTAAATATGGTCAATGAAAAAAAGTTGTATAGTAACATAGTTCTTTTTCTCAAAGTATGTAAAAAGGCACAGTTTCAAGTGTTCGGTCTGATTAAGCAATCACCATATAAATCCTTAATATGGGTAAGAAAAAGGGTCTTACTGAAAACGATCATGCTGAAATTACTCACAGGCTTGGAAGTGGTCTGTCAATGCTAGAAATTTCAAAAAAGTTACATAGAGACCACCATACAATCAAAGCATTCATCTTAGGCAGTAAATCATGCAGAAAGACACTTAAACAATCACATTTGCGAAAGTTAACTGCCAGACATCTTCGTAAAATTAAATATGAAGTCTCAAAGAAACCGCATGAAACTAGTAAAAAATATTTGAAAGCGCTGGAGTGCCCAAAGTTGGTAAAACTACCCATTGTGAGGTCCTCAAGACCCTTGCCAAAGTGAAGAGTTCCATCAAGAGGCCCCCATTGAGCAAAGCAAACAAGATGAAAAGAGTTGAATGGGCACACAGGTACATGAAGATCAATTTTAGCAATGTGATTTTCACCGATGAGTGCCATGCTACCCTTGATGGGCCTGATGAGTGGTCATCTGGATGGGTGTTAAATGGTCGACCAGCAGGAGTACGCATTCGTCGACAAGAGGGTGGCGGAGGAGTGATGTTTTGGGCTGGGATCCGCTGAAATGAGCTAATAAGCCCACACAAAGTACCCAAAGGGCTTAAGCCAAATTCAAATGCATATTGTAGGCTTTTGGAAGATGCCTTCCTGCCCTGGCTGGATGAACAACCAATTCAGAAAAGAAGATCGTTGATATTTCAGCAGGATAATGCTCTAGTGCATAGATCAAGAGGCACCACCAATTGGCTATCAGACCATGGGTTCAAAGGGCAAAATTTAATGGTATGGCATCCAAACAGCCCTGATTTAAATCCAATAGAAAATTTGTGGTCTATAGTCAAGAGGCGGATTAATGCTGAAAACAAGCAATTCACCAGCTTCGAAGTCCTGTGGAAAGCAATTGTAAGTGCTTGCCAATCAGTCAAACCTTCTGAAATTAAAACATTGACGTCAGCAGCGGACAGACGCCTCATAACGGTTTTGAAGAATGGAGGATGTCATGTTTGTTCGTAGCCGCATTATCAGACTTGTTTTGTTTTGTTTAACATGCTACACATAATGTAGGACTTAGAACACAATGTATTGTCATATGCGCCACAATTCGAATAATAAAATTTAGTATAAAATGTGTTTTTCTTGTTTTATTTTCCATTTGCATAATGAAAGTGAACACTAAATTAGGGCTTAAGTTCATAAATCATTAAAAAGAAGCACGTTTTGTATATTTCGACAACTTAAATGATTGACAAAATAATAAAATAGTATCAACAACACTTTAGCTTTTATTCTTCAGAATATATTGCTTAACTTGGATATTTTTAGGTAAAAATTAACTTTGCATAATCAAGCAGAACACACTGTATATATAGAATATCTTTCTTTACCAACATGTTTCATTATATATATATATATGCAAACTTCATTAAATATGACAGACAAGGTGCTTTGATTAAATTTTTTATATAATTTCTCATATGGTCTTATAATTTTTTTTTTCAGTAGATAAATTATACAAAAACTGTTCAAATGTCATAATTTTCTGAGTGCATTCAACTATACATTTAGCCATTTTCAAGGATATATATTAATTGTTAAGTGGAACTAGATTGTTGTATTTAGTATTATAGAATATTTTATTTTCAAAACGCAGTCAACATATTGTGCCCATAAAAAGGAGTTTACTTTCTTAGATGTTCTTGTTGATTTTAGTATAATACATTTACAACTTCAATTTATAAAAAAAATACCAGTACATACTCTTACTATCTTCATTTCTCTCATGAATTCCCTTTTAGGTTATAAAATGGATGTTATTAAAATTTTCCTCAAGAGAGTGCACAAGAATTCCTCCTCTCGCATGCTTTCTTTAAAGAATTAAATAACGTTAAACAGATGCTTATCAATAACAGATTTTCAAATCAATTGTTGGACTTGCATATTAGGCTTTTTCTATCTAAAGTAGCTAATAGCAATGATGAGAATACAAACATAAACAATAGAATTAATATTTTTTTAAAAATCAGATGAATGACAAATACAGACAAACTGAAACTAAGATTAAGAACATTGTAAAAAAATGCACAACATCAGTAGACAATACCAAAAAAATTAAACTAATTATTTATTACAAAAAATTTAAAACCAGCAATCTTATAATTAAAAATAATAATTCACCTCTTAGATCAAAATTAAATAAAATAAATATTATTTAGAAATTTAAATGTCCATTAAGGAATTGTGTTCCTGATTAATCAAAATTCATAAACAATTATATGGGCCACACCACAACATGTTTAACAAGAAGACTCATGCTACATCTTTCTGGCCATAGCACAATTAGGTCTCATTTAAATACTCATGTTGACCTACCAGACCCTATTCACAAAATACTTGTTGATAATACAAATATAATAACATGTCTACATGTAAAAAAATAGGCTAAAAATAATGGAAGCCTTATTAATAAAAACAGAATACAAACACTTAGTAATATCAACTATGAACAT